TCGTTCAGCGGCCTCGTTTCGCTTCGACGGCTTTCAGCCTCACCCTGCTTCATTCTACTACGTTAATAAATCATTAGCTCATCCATGAACATGATTTCTGCCCGAGTCCCGTCGAATTGCATCGGCTGTGGGGATGAAGACAACAACTCCCATGATTCCACACTCAGTCACAGCATCATCAAACTATGCCTTTGTCTCTTTGTTTATTTTGAATATGTGCCCTCTAGCAGCGAAAATTACATATTGTGCCTTTAATTTTTTTTTTCAAAAAGTCGCGCTATTTTAGAGGTCCACTTTTGTAGGTAGAAAGTAACCAAGAAGACTGGTAATCTTTTTTTTTTCAACTGATTAGAATAAGAACTATTTCACTTTTCTATGTTATATTGATGACTTCATTAGTCTGCACAATATCTACTGTACTTCCTTGGTGTATTGTATGTCCAAAGCAAACATATAACAAATTATTTACTTCAAGGAAGTGCCGAAAAGATTAATAATGCATTTCACCACTTCTAACTACATTTGTGCAAGACAAGGACCAAGTAATTCTACTTCAGTTTAAATATTACATTTGCACTTATGCCATCTGAACATGTCAAAAAGGATATTTCTAAAATTGAAAGTGAACCTGAATCGTTTTTTCAGCAGGGGGCTAATATTAATCTTCCTCAAACCACAGAGTAAAGCCGTCCAGTGATGTTAGTCAAATATAATGTCAATTATTTAAAAAATAAATAAATAAGAAAACATGTTTTCAATTCCACCTGCCTTTGCATGGAATTGTAAAAATCTGAGAAACTGTTCAAACATTGTCGCAGAACCAGTCTAGTACTGCAGTCATTTTTTTCAAGCTTACAATTTCTATGATATTCTGTTCTTTATATTTCATGTTTAGTATTTTATAAATAAATACACTGTAATTTCTGGGCTTACATTAATCCCTCATGTTCTGTAATGCTGTCAAAGCTTTGCCACAAACAGACAACATTCGTCATCCAAAATGAAATATGCTAGCTTGCACAAAATATGGTAGAAGTGCTGAAATATGTTCCAGAGCATATATTCCTTTTCTTTTTTTTCTATTCTCTTTTTTGAGGTATATTTTGTAGAAGGAAGAAAAGAAACCCTGTATTAACTATCACGTCTAGAGAGAAATATTTGTACAGAGCATTTAACTCTATCCTTCACAATATACACAGTTCTGACAACGTTATGACAAAAACCGAAGTGGCCAGCAAGATTTTTCCTAGCATGTAATGGAATGCTATTATTTTCTTTTTATTATCAAATGAAAAGCTTTTGTCCTGTCCTTTTCTGTTTCTTCCAAAAGAGCACCCCTGTACGTTTTTCCTTTGTGTAAATTTACAGAAAATACAGATATGTGTAGTATATTGTGCCAACCTCTGTCTTCTCTGGGGTGAAGCCAGCGCAGCAGAGAGGACAGATGAAGACAGGGGGACTTTTTAAGTGTACTTTTCCACTTTTTCTTTGAGGGAGAGCTGAGATGTTCTCTTTGCTCAGAGGCCTGAGATGCATGCGGCTGCTGGGTCTGAGAGGTGGACACATCTAGAGACAGCAGAGCAAATGAGACACAGCAACAGAACAGACTTTTACATTTTCAGAAGAAAATGTGAGCGTTGCCTGTGCATGCAAACCTCACTGCCACAATGTTAAGGAGTTGTGGGTGGTTGTTTTAGCATATTTTGGGTGGTTTCTTGTAATTATTAAGCAAATAAGCATGTAGTCAGGACATTAGGAGAGACAACATGTCCATTTCTCCCAGTATGTAATGTACGGGTGAAACTGACCTGTCCTTTTCTTGAATCTGGAGTTGTTGTTCTTGTTGGCTGTTGATTTCTTGGCTTTATTAATACAATAATAAATCAGTGCTTCAAAGCTCTCAGACCCTGCAGGGACTCTCACTGCACCTAGATGCTCCCTGTGAGAGACAAACACAATGATGCATTACTTCACACCGCCACCAGGGTGCACTGCCCTCCACCGGCCAGATCAAACTGAGATTTAGCTCCTGACAGGGAGCACTTTGGCTGCCCCCAATGCCAAGTGCAAAGCCTTCATGACAAAAGTACCATTCATCAACATGTACTGTGCAATTTAGCAATTAATCAACTTGTTTGTTAGATATTGTTTAGAAAATACTGTTTATCAAAATGAAATCTTATTCATTTTAATTGGCCACATTTCATTGGTCATCAGAATAAAAATTAAATACCAAATAATTTATTTTTAAAGAAAAAAACAAAGACTCTTCCTCATTAGATGGGTACTCTGCAAATTAAAAGCACATTGTATTAGTTGAGTTAGTCTGGTGAGTTGAATTTAGCATTTTCCCCACTCATTTACTACAGAATACACCTAAATTAACATGAATAAACCTTTACCTCATGTTGTACACTGCTGCCATGCTGCCAGCACTGTCCAATCAAATTACAACTAGCCAAAATCTCCTGTTTCCCAGTAAGCTCACTGGTTTCCTATAAAACTGACCACAGAGGTCACATTTCTTGTAAAGTGTTGTCTTTTATCGCACATGCCATTCCTCTATCATGGCAGAGATCATGAAACTCAAATGTCCATACTGAAGAGCCAACAACTCATGGGTTCACAAGGCACAGAAACACAAAGCGTTTACAGACAGTCTCCCCTGCTGCTGAGGCTGTGGAAAGAGAAAGTGAAAGTGATTAATAGAGGGGGGTGGTAGACATGACTGAGCACTAAAGTCCGCCACATCAAACACACTCTGGTTACCATGAATACACTGAACAGTGGCTTCACCATGCTGACAGGAGAAGAGATGGCAGGAAGGGGAGAATGGCCAGTAAAGAACAGTCACATAAAAGAAAGGAACCAAACCACTAGGACGACAAAATGTGACAAGAAATTTTAGTTTGAGAACTGCTGTTACTGATTCGGCATCGAGGAGAAGAGTATTTAGAAAAGGCATGCATGATATTTTTGTACATGGAAACAAAATTTTAAAGGGGAATATACAAGTGTGCCTCTAAAAGTGCAAAATTTCCTGGAAAAAAATAGTCTGTATTTAATCATCTCAAAAATGCTTTGATAAACAATACTGAAAAAGGGCATTATTTGTATTCCAGCAATAAAAATATTCAGAATATTTGCCAAAAAAGACAATGTATTATTGATATCATGTAATAAAAAGTCATTCCCCTTTAAATGAGAATGATTTAAGGCCCCGCCTGCAAACCCCTCCCCTTTCAGACATGGATTCGACCCTTACCTATTGTGGTGTAGAGGACCTGGTCACAACAATGCTGCCCAGATAGCTGAGATCAATCAAAAACAAAGAGGGTAAGACTACCAGAGTCTCCAGAGAAAAGCGCCGTCTCTACTCTAGATGAGGATGAGTGTTGCAAGAGATGAGCGCACACTCATCCCTGGCAACGAAGGCCGCCTAAGAAGGCCATCGTGATGGTCAAAGCCCTGAGTTAGAGGAAGTGAGAGAAATGGAAGGAAATGAGCTGGAGAGGGTAAATGATGTGATCAGCCCACAAAAGAGGACAAAGAAGGAAGAGCCATGGGATCATCATGAATGCACTAGAAAATCCTTAATCATGAAAAATGTTATACACTATGATAATTTCCTATATCAAAATTACACTGTTTAAAGGTTAAAGGAGAATAGGATTTGAAGAAAATAAAGAAAAATATGGAAATTTATCCTGTGAACCCAATAAGGAGTTATACTGGAGGACATGGAAATTTGTGCATATGTAAATAATTTATAGTAAGATGTACATGTAAAAATATTTTAACCGAAAAAATCGCAAAAGCATGAAAGCATTGCTTTTGCGGTACAGATGATGAATTACAATCTCCTTTGTCATTTTGGAGTCTCCAATGGTACAGTTCACCTACCCTGGAGAGGGTTCTGAGGGGAGCATCTCCTCATCTGTCCTTCTCTGAGATGGCATCTGGCCGAAAGCATCACTGCTCTCCGTGGGGGGTGAAGGGGACTGAGAGGGGTAGCTGGCCGCGGCTGTGGCAAAGGCCATGTGTGCACGGTAGCTGAGGCTGGGCCGCTGCCCGCTCTGGCCTTGGGTAGGTGAAGTGGCAGGGGAAGAGGAGAGAGACCTTCGGGAGAAGGAGACACTGGCGGGGTGACGGGCACTCTCGGGCATCTCTTGAGAGCGGGAAGACCGCAGGATGCTGGGGCGGGGAGGAGGGCGGACGAGAATGTGTGGAGAGCCGGCGTGTGAGCTGGGAGGGGTTTGGGTGAGAGGGGAGAGTCGTGACGGCTGCAGGACCACCTGCTGCAGGCCAAGATCCATCCTTCGTGCCGCCCTGGGGCTCAGCCAAGGCTGGGCCTCAGACCTCCAGCCGTCCGAGCTCTCACTGTGCAGTGTGCTGGGGCTCCCCATGCGGGCCGTGGCACCTGAGTAAGGCAACACTGGTACGCCCATACCGTGGGCAGTGTGTCTCAACTGCCCCAGAGTCTGGGCCTGTTGCATAGTTATATGCTTGGCTGAAAGGCCCTGAGGCGGAAACCTGCGGGGAGATCTGCTCAGGTGGGCTCTAGGGGCCTCCAGCTGGAGGAAAGCAGAGCTTGAAGGGAGCTGAGAGGTGGTGCTAAGAGTACGACTATGGGAGGGGTATGGCGGGGGCTCGGGGAGGTCCCGGTGGAGATAGAATGATGAATGACGTGGTGGAAGAGCGAGACGGGGACCCTCCTGACCTAGAAAGGGGAAGTCAGGAGGCTGCCAGATCTCGGTCGAGCGAGAGGAGGGAGGGCTATGCACCAGTGGGAGGGCATGGCTGGGGGCACCATACTGATGGATCCTCAGCTCCTCCCTCTCCTCTGGGATGGTGGGATGGCGGAACGGCCCCTCAGGGGGGTATGAAGGTGAGGAGGACATGGCAGAGCTACGTGGACTAACATCAGGCATGTAAAAAGGAGGGTGAAGCTCCACCTCAGCACCACTACCTAGATAGCCATAGAAGGGGCCTGGAGGGAAGACCCTGTGAAAATGGGAGGCCCGGCTCTGCCCTGTGGCCTGAAGCCGACTACCCTCCAAGATGCTCATACCTTCCATAGGCCTCTGGAACCGGGGGCTGTAGGCTGGGGGCTGCATGTAGGACTCCTGGCTGGAGGACACAGGGGATATCTGGGGCCTGAGGGTGGCCATGACTGGGGGTAGGGGCCCTGGGTCATCGTTCTCCTCATCTGATTGGCGGAACTCAGGATACAAGTCCGATTCCTCCACAAAAGGAAAACCCTCAATGCGTCGTGGCTTGAGGGACGTGTCGATGTCACTGGGGTCCATGATGAATCGGCCATCAGGTCCACGGCTGATCAGCTCGATGGGCGTGGTGACCTCAGCCTCGTGCTTGGACACGCTGTACTTCTTACTGGTTATTGCTCTCTTGGTTTTCTTATAGAGGGAAAGCTCTTTCTCTTTCCTAGGGCTTGGCAACTTCTTAACGTAAAGACCATGGCCACCCATGCTGGCCAGAGATGGGGACCGGGAGGAAGCAATGCTCTCAGGACTGATCTTTCCAGAGGACAGCCTATCAATCAAAAAAGACATGGGGCTTAGGACTGAGCCCTGGGGAATACCAGAACTTAAAATCAGCACTATCAAAACAAGAATCACTCCATTTTAAAACATGGAATATAATTCAAAAGGAAATGGCATGGCATTACACTTTCTTGTGTACTTATTTTAAAATTAACAAAATTCAGGGTAATTAGCCTTTATCCACATGCTTTTTTATAACAGTAATTAGAATAAGCACTGATCTTAAATTAAAGGCCATCTTAAATAAAAGTGAAAGACGATGTCAGGGTGAGAGATAATGGAGAACATCAGAATGGGGACAGGACATAGAAACAGATAAGTCAGTACAGGCACCAGTGAGCTAACATAATATCAGCTAAACTATATCTTCACCCAACTCTTCAATAATAATCCATCTTGCTGGCTATAAGTGGTCAAACAAGTGTCACAATTTGGAGCAGCTGAGGGCTGAAGTTGTCTATTCCCCTAAAGAAGCAGTTTAGCTCTGCACCACTAACTGACATCATGCAGCTACGGCAGACAGGCACATGTTAGCGCCTGCTGCAGAGAGAGATGCAGGTGCAAGCACTCACTGAGGGCTGGTGGATGGGGGCCTGTAGCTGCTCCTGTCTGGCTCTTCCCAGTAGGGCTCAATGCCAGGCAAGGGGGTAAGAGGAGGCCTGCAGTGACAAAAACACAATAGAGACGGGGCAGAGTCGGCCGTCAACCAGACTATGGTTCCACACTGCTATGTGGAAATGGGTGGGATGGGAGCATGAGACTGCAGCTCTATGAAGACCACAATGGAATCGGATAAGAGCGTGAGTCCCAGTTTGAACTGGGTTGGAGATGCTACCCTTAATGTTCTCCTTCCTTTAGCTCTGGTTATAAATGTGAGAGTGACATGCTGCCATGCCTGCACTGATCAATTCAGTGGAGCTGGGGGATAAGCTTCATGTTTATAATATATTCTTACGCTATTGAAAGGTTCTATCACAACCTGACTGGACAGCAAAAAAAAAAAGAAAGAGCTTGAGAAGATTGTTTGTAATAGCAAATCAATGCATCTCACTGCTGAAAAGCAGAGGTAAGCACAGATACATTTATAGCAGCCACTTTAGTGACCATTCAAATCCTCCTCCATGCATCCCTCACGGTAACACAGCAGCTGCTAGGGTCAGCTTTCCCAAACTGTACATGCTCTCTCTCTTTCTCCCTCTCAAGCCATGTGCCTGGTAGTCAACAGATTTGCAGAAGTGCAAAGTATGATGGATGTTACCATGCACTGGTACTTACGGAGATTCGATGCTTTTCCTTGTGTGCGTAATCGATAGTGGAGGGTCTAAGGACAAATCACACAATGCCACATCAGCATGACAATATGCTTCAGATCTTTATCTCAACCACTGCAATGCTGAAGCTGGAATAATGCAATACAGCTGAAAAGATGTTTAATTTTTTACAAATCCAATAAAGGTGTGATCTGTGCAAAAATGATTAATTAACAAGAGAGATAACTGTGTCTTGAAGTTAAGAAGGACTTACCTCGTTTGCGTTTAAGCTTGCGACGATGCTGCTTGTTGACAAAACATGCAGCGAGCGTGCTGAAGAGGATAGCAGCCGCCAAGAAACAGATGGTGGCCACGATGCCGGCCACCACTGGCTTGGCCAGCCCCTCGTCTGAGATCTCTGTGGGAGGGAAGGGGTCTGAGAGAGGAGACACTCCAGAACATGAAATTAGGATGGGAGAATGCAGCAAGCATGTATTCACAAAGCAGGTTAACGTGATTGCTGACAGTGATTCAGTTAGTGTGCATCAGAGGTGGGACCAAGTCATTGTTTTGCAAGTCACAAGTAAGTCTCGAGTCTTGCATTCAATTCTCGAGTCAAGTCCCGAGTCAAGACAGGCAAGTCCCAAGTCAAGTCCCGAGTCAAGACAGGCAAGTCCCAAGTCAAGTCCCGAGTCAAGACAGGCAAGTCTTAAACAAGTCATTAGTGCTCTTTGCCCAAATTAGTGTCTCAGTATTAATTACCATATCAAATTCATAGTAATTTATATCAGGAAGGCAGGTAGAATATGTTTGACATAGTTCAATTTCATGTGAGATGGGTGCCCTCAGTAAAACTACTCAAGTTCAATTTAGGGATTGTGCCAAAATAGGACAAGCAGTGAAAAAAAAAACGATTTTATTAGTAACAGAATAGCAAAGACAACTTAATTTCAGAGAAATAACAACTGCAACATACTTTGCATGTGTGCATAAGAATATATGCTTCTAGGTGTTATATCGAAGCCAATGAGCCATTATTTGGAATCTCAATAAAACAGATTTAAACATATGTGAGTGTAAACACAGAAAGAACTGTTTTGAAAGAACTAAAAGAAATAACTGCTAGCATACTTTGCAAGTGAGAGGAAACATGCAATTTGGATGCAGACAAACTCATGAAGACAATCATTCAAAAATGCTGTGCTACCATCCTTGTCTCAGAGAGGTGTTTATTACAAATAAAAAAATAAAAATGAAAGCACATCGAGCGGGATGCCCGGGATGCATATCCGTCACTCTTGGTGCACCTCGGTGTCGAACAAACAAAAGAAGTGAGGAATATTTAACAGAAGCGGTCACGGTGATTAATTATTGTTTTTTTTTCTTATCTCGGCTCTCTTGTTGTACGTTATGTTATTACTCCATTCATGTATACTAGCCTATAAATCCAGCGCTCCCTGAACGCAGTCTCTGGCTTATTGCCAGTCAAGCGCAAGCACGCTGCAGGGCCGCCTCTATAAGACTTTGATCTGATCATAAAGTCTTTCCGAGTCACAGGGCTCAAGTCCAAGTCAAGTCTCGAGTCATTGCTG